ACTGCATTATATTTGAGTGAAGCATATTTTCTTATTTTCTCTTACAGTCTTAAGATTTAGGCTTATCCTGGGTGACATTATATGTAATTTTATTAAAAGACTATTGTACAGGTTGTACTCAACTTAAAACCATCATGGAGCCACTGCCTATAACAACTGCAAATTGTGATGGTTATTAAATGAGACTCCCACATGGTGTGGTCTAGTGATTGTGCAGATAATTAAGCTGAGCATAGGGTTCTTCGGAGTGGAAGAGTCCCTGGAAGGCCTAGCATAGGCCCAGGCCTGAATTTCAGCACTTCCCCAGCTTCCATCCTTTGGAAATGGGTAAAATGAGGACCCAGATTGTTGGCAGCAATATAAAAACCACTCTGTAAAACCACTTAGAGAGGGCTGTAAAGCACTACAAAGCAGTATATAAGCCTAAATGATATTGCTATTACATATAGCTTACCCCTCAAACACCTGTTCTGCTTCATAGCTCTTAAGAGTTCTCGCAGGCCTTGGGCCTGGTTTCTTACCACTGATTCCTAGAGCTCAGATTGGGAAAGGAGAGCAGGCTGCTCCACCTTCAGCATCCCTGCAGATTACATGGCTCCAGATGAAAATAATTTTGTAAGAATTCATTCATAAGAATCAATGTGAGTTTGACTTAAAAGACTGTCTTTTAACAAATGTCTTGGACATTTTGGAATACTTAGAGCAGCATAATGAGAAGCTGCATTGATTTTCTTAGATGCACATAAGGCCTTTGGAAATTTGAACTGCATCTTTCTGGTTAAAGTTTTGGAAGATATGAATTTTGGAGAGAATTCTATTACTGTAAATGCATAAGATTGATCTACACTTCACAGAAAGCATAAATAATTGTGAATGAATTGTGAACTAACAAAACCTTGTGAAATACAAAAAGGGACAAAACTGGGATGCCTGTTGTCTCTTCTTTAGAATACAGACATAAGACAAGATGAGAGAATATGCTCCGTCTGTTTGGCATCAAATACATCCTGTTATAAAGAAGAGTCAGCGCATTATGTCATCTAACTGTCAGCCTCTGAAATGCACTCACCTCGATCAATGTACCATTTGGGGTTATCAATGAATTCTTTCACATCTTGCACAATCCTCTCTGATATTCCTTTGTCAAACACTACAGAGGTGAGTGGGCGTTGTCGTCGTGGGAAACCAAATGGCCGCCATTCAGTAGCCATTGCTGTATACATTACTGTTTTGCCTTCTTGCTGCCTCAGAGCCAATTCCTTGGCTGAAGAGAAAGTAAAATGTTGATTATACAAAATATTTGGATATAAATAGGAAGGAAGACAAGACAAATCAGAAGCAAAATCCCCATCCCTAGAAACAACAAAAGAATCAAAATACCACATAGAAGAGATTGTTTAGACACAATGTCCAAATCTGGTTGGTCTGGACTTTGCTCTGAGCAATATTCCATTCAGGGGTGTTAGGAGCTTTGGTGCTAACATACCTTCTTGCAGGATGTTGAAAAAAATATCTCTTTTATTGCCAACTGCTGTAAACGTGACAGACTCCCAAGGAGTGCCTGTGTGGAGATCAATCATCTGGTTCTCCCGGTTCCGTTCTATACGGATCCACTTCTTTTGATACCTGAAAGCAGAGCAAGGAACACCTGAGCAGGAAAACCTTTTCTGGACTTTCACCTCCAGAAACAGCCTTTTCCATGTCTGTTGATCTGTAATCAAACAAAAGGTAACCTAGGATTTACATATGTTCAGTTATGACCAAACAAAAAATGCAGTGGCAGAGATAACACAAGGAAATCTCTTTTGTGACTACCTACTCTCCCAACCTACAAGCTTAAAAATTTCTCCTTATGCAAAAATATTTGGGTTTTGTTTTTTGCCTGAATTTTTTTTGTCTGAATTTCCATTTTTGCTGTTTAGCCATGCCATATAGCTCATGTTCCTCAGGACTTTCTCTAGCCTTCTGAAAAAGGAAAACAGGAAGGAGAAATTTGTTCTGTGCGTTTTTTTTTTATGCTTGTGTAGCAATATAGCCTATAGCATTACAATGGTAGGAATAAGCAAAAGTTATTCATCCAATCAGTTCTGCTTATTTAAAATGTCTCTATTCCACTGTTTGAATAGCTCAACATATTGAAAAATAAAACTATATGTATACAATGCAAACCACAAAATTGTGAAAAAAAGAAATTTAGCTATTAAAATAACAGCATTTTAAAATATTTTACAATATCTCAAGTTACCTAACATTGTTCTGTATCATCATGATCTGAGTTGGAGGAGTAAAGAACAGATCTAATTGTATGCTTGTTTGCTGGAAATAAAATCTTACAAAAAATTCAGTGCTTAGCTGATATTAATCTTAAAAGACAAAGTTGATAATTAAATCAATTCCTATTGATAAATCAGAAAATAAAAAAAATGAAATACTGGAACTGATTCATGGAAATAAAATAATTAAAAACACTGTGGAGTAAGGCAATAGCATGATTGCTAAAAAAAAAAAAAATCCTGCACAGATGCACCCATAAGGATTTAAGTTGAGCTCAAGGGAGATTTTATCTTACCTTTAAATCCTAGAGTTCAATGGGATTTATTCTTAAATATGGAGGCATAAGAGTATAGAATAACAGCATGATGTTTCAAAAATAAGACAGTTGCTGAAACAAACATTTAGCCACACTGCTGCAAATCACTGGCATAATAACTATCCTTTTGAGATTCAGCAGAGTACAGAATTTGCTTTGAGTGCACACTTGTAAATATCCATTCTATACTCCTGCACATGCATTTTGTTGTTTTCTTGGTTCTTTGCCTATTTTGCAATTTTAGAAATGTGAAGTTCAGGATGTAGACATTTAAATTTATTTTCTTCTGTTAGTTGTGCACTACAAACTCCTGCTTATTGCCATAGAAGTATTTTGGGAGTTATTGCAAAATACAGTATAAATATTCATGTTCACAATCTTCCCACTACTTCCAGCCTGGAGATATTTCACAGTTCTCCCTTACCAAATGAAATGATTCCCAGGGCTGGGAATAAAGTCAAATTTTGTACTGACACGGCCACTCTCATGTTGCAGGTAAGAAGTCTCCACGCTCAGGTGCTGGGTGTGCTTAGCATGGTGAGATATCCAGTTCAACAGCCAGTGGTAGCTCTTGTCCCTGCCTGGTACTTCCAGGGTGATCATACAATGCCGTTTGAAAGCCATCATGCCAACCTGGGCCCCCTTACGTGCCAGGGCCAAAGCTGTGCCCACACCAACTAAACCAAAGCCTGCCCCAAAATATGGATTGTCCTTTAGGGCCAAGACAAAGTCAGAAAAAGGCATTGTGTGCGGGAGGAGCAAATAATGCTGAAGTTAAATAATCACTCTGTGCAGCATTTCTTTTAAAGCCTGAAAAATAAAAGAGAAAGCAGTTAAACTCATGAACAAAAAAACTCAAAGGCATAAACACCTTGCATCAAATACACCAGACTTTTTTGCAATGTCTAGATGGCAGACCACGCCATTCATTTTAGCGTACTGCAGTTGCATAGCAAACTAAACTCAGAAATCAAAAAGAACTTTGTCTCTACTGTCTATACAAAACAAAAGCTGTACAGATTCCCATAAGTGTCCTTCACTTCTTAAAATAAGTTGGGGAGAATCTCCTTGGATTTTTAGCTTAAAATTTTGTCTTTTTCCTCCCTCCCTCCATCTCTCCCGGTCTACTGGAGAAAGATGCAGCTTTATGCAGATTAAAGAAACGAGAAATCTGCCCTACCTCTTACTCCAAACCGGAGCTTGAGAAAAAACCCACTTCCCCGAGTACAATATACTATTAAAGACACGCTCTCTCCTGCTTGCCCTTCCTTGAAGGACCTTCCCCCTCTTGCAATCAGCGCCGCCCTCTCATTTCTGTGGTTCCACCCTCTTGTCCCAAAGCTTTTTTTTTTTCCAAGAGGCAACTGGACTTTCTGCTTTTTTTCTTTGAAGATGTTTCGCTTCTTCTCCAAGAAGCTTTTTCAGAGCTGAAGAAACTTCTTGGATGAGAAGCGAAACGTCTTTAAAGAAAAAGAAAGAAAGAAAGGAAGGAAGTCCAGTTGCCCCTTGGAAGGGGGGGGGAAGCACCTTTGGGACAACATGGTCCCTGGATGACCGAGAATCTCCATAGTCTTCTTCACCCTCTTGTTCCTACCGAGATAGCTCCGTGGCATGCAGGCGTCGGTTTTATAGAGCAGCCTCGGTGTCTTTAACTGGACCAACTCTCAGAAACCTCCCATCATTCTGGCATTTGAAGGTCACTTAAAAGTCCCCCCACCCCACCCTTAGGTTGAAAGAACGGTTTAAAATAAAACGCAAAGGAGCCATCGACTCCTCCTCAACTTTGATATAGGCACAGTGGAACCGCTTTGGAGCAGCCCGCGAGTCCGCGAGCCGTTCGGAACCGAGCCGTGGAAGCGGCGGGCGAGTGCACGGGCTCATCCCCACTTGCGCGAGCAGTGGACGAGCACGAGCACGCGCACGCTTGGCTGGCTGCTCGCGCGGAGCCATCTCCTCTCCCTGCAAAGGCGGAAAAGCTGCAGGGAAACTGCACTTTACAATAAACATGATTAGAAAGCAGAGATCGTTATGACTGAAGACCAGGATGGGCGACTCTACTTTTTCCTAGCTCTATCTCCCATCTTCCGCTTCGGGGAACCGAAGGCTAGCTACTTTCTATGAAGTTATCCTACACTCTATGGTTTCTGGGAAAGCATTGGGTTCCTAACTTCCTATATAATACAACCTTCGCCGCGGGGAATCCGAATATCGGGATTTTGATTTGAGAGAAGACGACAAAGCTCTCTCTCCCCCCGCCCTGCCCTCGCTTTGCTTTTAAGTTAAGGTACCTACCGCGAGGAAGACGCTCTGCGCACCTCGTCTGTGGCAGTGCCTTCGTTCCCCAAACGCCGAGGCCTGCGTCAAAAGTTAACCATAGAGTTGCTCGGGGAGAGCGCGGACGAAGCGACAACAAAGAGGGAGGCGGGGGTGAAGAGAGAGAAAGGCTAGAGAGGAAAACATGGGCGCTTTTTTACCGGCGCGGGGAAGGAGGGATCGTTGACACGCTGCCTGGAGTGGGGATCCCGGCGTTGTAAATAAATGGTGAGGAGGGTGAGGAGAGGCGAGAGGAAGCGCGAGTCGGGACGGCAGCGGAGCTCTCCTGGGGCGGCGGAGTGGGGGAAATAGGTAGCCAGAAAGGCAAGAGGACATGTTTCTAAGGACTGAATGGGCTTTTTGCGGGAAAGGGAATGGCGGGGTGAGCTTCTGTGCTGCTCTCGGGGATCCCTTATGCTGAAGGCGCTTTTGAATGTGGGTACTGCAATGGGGGCTCTGCGGCGAGGGGCCTGGAGAGGAGCAGGCCCCGGCTCCAGTTGAGATTCGTTAAGTCCTATAGAATTGGCGGTTTGTCCATTCGGATCCGAAAGATGCTGTCATTAAATTGGTGGTTGTGTCTTCTTTTCTCTTGCAAGGTCTTCAGAGGCGGAGAAGAATGGTTCACGCCTGGCGTACAGAATCCAGAAGATTGCAGAAGAAGCCCACCAGAAGAAGAGGAAACTGGGTGTGTGAGTTAATCATTTTTTATCCTGCCTAATCAGACAGTTACCATTTTTTTTTAATTAGTGTATCGAAGTATAAAATACAAAGAAAAGAAAGATGGAAAAGTAAGAGGAGAGGAAGGGAAAAAGAGGGCAATGGTTACAGTTTTTAATCACAAATGCTTATGTTTTTTGTTACAATGACTATGATAACAATATATAAAACCCAACGCTCAACAACTTAGGGCTGCTTGAAAGTATAAAGAAGAGAGATCATGAAGGAATCCTGTGTCCAGGAAATAAAAGTATGGGCTAATGTGCAGTGAAATAATATAAAGTATAGGCAGTCCTCAACTTACAGCCATTTGTTTAGTGACCATTCTAAGTTACAACTGCACCAAAAAAGATGACTTTTGAACAGTTTGCACACTTACGACTGTTGCAGCATTCCCATGGTCATGTGATCAAATGTTGAGTGCTTGATAACTGGCACGTGTTTATGACAGTTCAACTGTCCTGAGATCATGTGATCACCATCTTTCCATCTGGTTTCCAACAAACATAGAGAATGTGGGAAGCCAGATTCACCTAACCGCATGATTCACTTAACAACTGCAGTGATTCCTTTAACAACTAGCAAAAAAGGTTGTAAAATGGGGCACAACTTGCTTAACAACAGCAACATTTTGAACTCCATTGTGGTCATAAGTTGAGAACTACCTGTATATATAACGTACATTATTGAGAGAACCAGGTGAAATATCGGACTCCAGAATGACAAAGGAATGTGACAGGTCTGTATACTTTCCTCTAGAGAGAGAGAGAGAGAAAGAGAGAGAGAGAGAGATAACACACACATGTGTGTGTGTGTGAAACTTGTTCTTTAAACAATCATGCTTGTGACTAAATCACTCAGCCTTTCTATAACATCAAGTATAATGTAGATAAATTTCTGATAATGCAGATCAGAAATATTAAATACCTTCGGCTGGTTCTTCCCTTGTACCTGTAGCCTATGGAATTACTTAAGAGCAGTCTTATTTAAATACATGTATGCATCCTAATGTGATTTCTATACTATAAAGTAGCCATTCATCAATAATACAATTTGCTGAAAACTAAACAGATCAGGAAGAGCTATGGTTGAGTAATGAATGGGCCACTGAATGTTGGCTTTAGAAACATAATTATATAAGATATAATTCTAAATAATTCAATAAATGGCTTTATTAGGATTATGAGATAGATAAATAGATCCATGCACACATGTATATAAGAGGCATTTAAAAATATAGTATTGAGCTATCTGCTAAAGTGAAAAAAGAGCAAGCAAAATTTTGCATATTCTCTGGATTGAAATTGAAAATGTATATATAATAAACCTACCTTGGGATAAGGTTCCTCAGCTCAGGCTAATTAGACTGTGTGTATTAGTATGCCTGTTGATAAATCAGACTTTACACAACACACGTGTTTTCTTTATAATTTGTGTGAAAAATCGGAATTGACTCATCTTACACAAAACAGTGTGTCATAGATTATGATGTACAAGCTGGAACAACGGGATTCTCACAAAACACTAAGCTAGGATCAATCAAACTATATCATAACTTAATATGCAACGTAAATCCAGTTATTGTATTTGAATCTATCAACAATCTGTGATAACATACTAGTACATTCCAGCTTTAATTTGAACATATTGGTAGAAGACGTTTAGCACTTCCCTTTTCATCCTGACCTCATGAGATTAAAATAAAGTCTCTTTTTTTCAAATCCCTTATAATCCTTGTTTGCCCTCATTTAAAATCCTATGTATTTAAAGTTAAACTATTACAGTGGAAACCCTTATGGGTATAAGTTCGGGTTTCACGTATTTGAGAGTGTTAGTATGAAAATTATTGTGTTTGTATCTGTACAATTATAATACTTCCTCTTTTATTTAGTTCTTTGGAAGAACAAAGTACTGAATTATTTCACATCCTATATTAACTGCCCTACTGCATTTTTTTCCATACAGGTGTGGCTACTAGAAATACTGAGCAATTATAGCTGCTAATAATGTATTTCTTTATTACAGTTATTGATATTCCACTTTTAAAGACACTAATTGTTTCAAAGCATTTAGAATATATATATAACAACACATAACAATGCAGTAAATGTTGAAAAGCAAATAAACTTCTAGTACCATTTTTTACAGGGTAGATGGTGGTAATAGCCCTAAAAGGGAGGGCAGAGTTTAGCTAAGGAAGCCTTGTCCCTTCCTCTGTAAATATCTTCTGCCACAGCTAACTTAGCAATTCCCCTATGGGAAGGGGAAGAAGTTCTCATGGAGAACAGTTTTCTATGATGGTTGTCATATGCTTTCCTCTGTTTTCCTCCCCTTTTGTTAATACCTTGTATCAGTCCATTCTATCCTTATTCCCTTTAGAAGACAAATTGAGCGGGTTTTTTTCGTATCTCTTTAACAGGATCTGTATTTGTCTGTCATGGTGTAAAGCTGCTTGAGGAAAGACAATGAGCAGAGGAGCAGTAGTAACAGAATCCATTGGAGACGACAAAATGAGTGGACTTTGCCAGGAGCTGTTATTACCTGACTCAGGAATTGCAGTGAATGAAGACAGCCATGAAAATCTACCAGTGGGACAGAGTTTGCTCTTAACAGAGGCTTCTGTTGTAGGTACAGAAACGGGTGATGTTGAAATATTTGTAGAAGCCATGAGTAGCACCATGGCTCTCAGCAATCCGGGTAACCCTACAGGTATGTTGTGCTCTGATAGAATTATTTTTTTTATGGTTTCCATATCATAAAAATATAATGGCCTGGGGAAAAAAGATTTCCCCTCAGATGTTCCTGTTTTCATGGGCTTTCACTTCTCCAGTCAATGCTTTTTTACTCTTAAGCAATGAACAGACAAGGATATGCCATAACAGGTAGTAGAACTGTTGAATGCATGCTTTGATCTTTTTGCATTTAATATATTTATATGGATCAAATACCTTCATGAATATGCTGGTAGAGGTCATGTGTAGGCATGGGTTGAATTGTGCTAGCTATGACACTAAGTTATCAACTGGAAGAGCCATGAGAAGCTTGAACTCTTTTTGGTGTCTGGAGTTTGCAAGGTGTAAATGAGGCAAAATAAGATCAGATTAAATTCCTCCAAAGTTCCTCACTACTCTCCAAGTGATACCAATCCCCCCCCTTCCTGGCCAAGTCTCCCCTCTCTTTGAAATTAAAAGGAGGTGAATGAATCCATAGTCTCTTCTGTAGTGGCCCCCCTACTTTGGAACTTTGTCCCTCCTGAGGTTCTTAAAGTTGTCCCTGCCTCTCCCCCTACCCCCAATAAACCAGTGTGATTTTCAGAAGATCTGTAAAAATATCTTTATTTCAGTTCTCTTATTTTAGTCCACTTTGGAAGAGGTTATTACTGTTGTTTTTTAAACATTGTATTATGTTATAATCTTGCTTTTGAAAACATTTTTGGGAACCTGTTGCATAGGAAGCTTACCCCACAAATCAATTTGATGCCAATTCTATGTGTTAAAAGAAATGATAATAAGTGTTTTGATGTAGTTTATAGAGACAATCATTTATGGTCACTGTTCCTGATGGACATTAGAAGAATTGAATATAATTTCTGTTAAGTTTATAACTACTGGAAATGAGGGGTGAAAAGGAAAGGTATATTTGTTTTTTAATATAAAATTTTAACTTTTTTTCCCCCCCAGAGGTCTTAGTCAAAGTTGTGGAACTCTATTTTTGTGAACAGTGTGGACGAAGCTTCCCTGATCCCAGCCTTCTTTCCCAACATCAGTGTGGTAAGCTTTTCGAATGACAATTTGCTAAACTTCCTTCATCTCCAAGGGTTATCCTTAAGCCTCACTAATTAAAACTTATCTGTTTCAGGAGAACAATCAACTGTTGGTCAGGTGGAAGGGCAGAACTTTCTGGATGAAAGCAGACAAGACCCTCAATTCTGCACTGAACCTCTCCCATGTCCTATATGTCAGGTGGAATTTGCACTGCCTACTGAGTTGAAAGAGCACTTTAAGGAACACCACAAACCCCAGGGTGCCCAAGCCTGTCCTGAGGAAGGCTGTCAATATAGTTCAGAGGATCGCAAGGAGCTCCGAGGGCATCTTCGGCATGTTCACCAAGTATCACCAATAGCCTGTACGTACCGTGGCTGCCCGGTTTTGTTCCGAAACCATGAGGACATGGAGCTTCATCGTAGGAACCACTTCCCATTCCATTGTGATCACTGTGACTTTATCAGTTCAAACATCAAGCAGTTTGGCCTACACAGGCAGATCCATCTCCATGAAGCTATACAGCAGGAGGACATAGAGATGGTTGCTGAAAACGTGGAGGGCAAATTCCCTTCTATAATGAAAAAGGGATTGACGGATAATCTGCTTCTAAACACAGGTAATCATACACTCTGGACTTGACTAGGATGGATGGAAAGGAATATTGTAGACTGATGCACATTATTCAGTGCCCCAGAACTTTGGAATTACGAAATATTTAATTTTGATATATACAGTAGCTACTGCAGCTTTATTGAAATTAATATCCATACTTTGTCATAACTGTGTCGGACCAGGAATATTGCAAATTTATGTTGATCAAGAGAAATGTAATTTGAAAAGTAGAAGTAGAGAGCAAGAGTTGGGATGATAGCTGAAGCAAATAGGATTAAGAAGAGCAGTTTCAGAGGAATATGGAAATTAAAAGCAGCAGCTTCTTTTTGAGAACACTTTAATATTTCATCTTGATTTGTGCTAAACAGAGCCTGATTTCCATCTGATATCCATCCATCTTTAACCCTTTGAGGTTCCTATTTCTGTAATTAGTTATTTTCACTTGCAGCAAGCAGTTACTTGCATATCTATGCCAAATTGAGAGTATGGAATAAATGCAAATCCAGGCAGTGCCTAAAAATACCTTTTTGTGCTGGACCTCAGCACAGGAAGCATTTTGTAGTAGAGAAGTAGCAGATAGGGAGAAATGCCTAACAAGAGTTATTAATACAGGAAGACAGAGAAATAAAGAAGTTAAGAGAACAATTGACTGTAGAGAGACTTAGTTTTCAATGGTTTTCATTCACCGTTAAAAGTTTAATATGGATAAAAAGACAACTGGAATTGAAAAATACAAAATGGAATTTGAAATTGAATTATGCACAAATGATAAACACGTAATAGCAAAAGTGTATAAACTTTTGTTAAGGTTTGAAACAAAAAGACAAATGAGCTATTAATGTTAGATATGACGTAGAGAAGGACACTTGGGAGAGAATGTAATTGGTATTTATATTGTGCCATAAGAGACATGTTTAATAAAATTGTGTAATTCTGCTATATGACACTAGAGAAATTATCAAAAATATACAAAAGTATTTTAAATAAGTATTGGAAATATGAAAAACATGAAGGGACATTTTGTGTTGCATGGTGGATTTATGAGAAAGCTAAGAAACCGTGAATACAAATTTACAGAATAACACAAAGAATTTTAAAGATTAATATTGTGAGGAAACCAGAATTCTTTTTATTGGGATCTATGTACAAGGAAGTGGAAAAGACATATAGTAGATTGATTTTTGTAATTCCAGCAAGATTATTGTGTACATAGCAGTGGAAGAATAATGAAATCCCACAGTGGAAAAATGAACGGTAAAGATGTCAGAATTTGGCAAAATGGTAAAACTGATCTATTTGGTTAGAGAAAAAAAACAAAAACTTTTGAAAGTCTGGAAACCTTATATGGATTTTTTGCTGAAAGAAAAAAAAAAGAAATGTATGGATTTGAAGATTAAGAAGAATGTGGGTTAAACTAAAGGCTGAAGAGGTTTGAATAGCATCTAATAGGGAGGTGGGATAATAAGATTGTAATTATCTGTTGAAAAGAAGATAAATCATTTAAACCGATGTCTTTTTTTTTCTGGAGTAAAATAGATCGCTGTGTAAAATAGCTATTCTCTGGTCGGTCTTGAGAGATTTTCAGATTACCTCTAAAGTAGCGGTTCCCATCCTTTGCATCTTGATGCCTGGCTGGGGAGGAGAGAGAGCAACTGAGCCACATGAGCAGTGAGCTGGTGCGCATGCCTGCAGTTTGATTTGGGCGAACAGCGGGCCAGTGCATACACATGCGTGCACATGTATGTGCAAGCCGGCCTGCTGCTTGCACAAGTAAAGCCCCGCATGCTCATTTGCATGTTGCATGCCGGTCCGCCACTCATATGGCCCTGTTTGATATAGGCCACGGCCTGTTAATGGGTTGCTCTAAATCACCCCTGCTCTTAATAATAACATGGAGTTCTATAAAAAGAGACATGGAAAGTGATTCCTGTTCAAAAAGTTGATTGTTCCTGGAAGTGAGACAAAACACATAACAGCCTTCCACTTTTCATTTTTCTCTAATGAACTGTGATTTGTCTTGTGCAGGAAATATCACTGAGGAGTCCAAATATTTGTTCAAGACCCACATGTGTCCAGAATGCAAGCGTTGCTTCAAAAAGCGGACACACTTGGTAGAACACCTTCACCTCCACTTCCCAGACCCCAGGCTGCAGTGCCCAAATTGTCAGAAATTCTTCACTAGCAAGAGCAAACTGAAGATCCACATGATGCGTGAGACCGGAGAGAAAGCCCATCACTGTCCATTGTGTCACTACAGCTCTGTTGAGAAGAATGCCCTCAACCGGCACATGGCCAGCATGCACGAGGGTATCTCCAATTTCTATTCAGATGTTTACTCTTGTCCTGTGTGCAAAGAGAAGTTTAAACTGAGCCAGACCCTCAAGGAACATCTGAAGACCCACAAGACAGAGCCCAAACAACTGAGCTGCTTTCAGCCTGGCTGCAGTTATGGCACCGAAGATCGCAAGGAGTTTCTGAGACACGTCAAGGAGGTTCATGAGATCAAAGCAGTGGAGTGCAAGTATTACGCCTGTTCTCTGCTTTTCCCCTCGACAGAGATCATGGAGATCCATCGTAAAACCCATTATGCCTTCCATTGCCAACAGTGTGATTTTATTTGTTCCAACAAGCATGTCTTCCGCAAGCATAAAAAGCAAGGCCACCCAGGAAATGAGGAGCTGCAGTGCAGCTTCTGCCCCTTTGCCACATTTAACTCGGTGGAATTTCAGGATCATGTTGGCAAGATGCATGCCAGTGAGAAGATACATAAATGCACAGAATGCGGCTTTGCCACCGCCCACAAGAGGGTCCTCATCCGCCATATGCTTCTTCATACAGGCAAGTTTTCCTCCCAATTCGATGATACTTGCATGCGTACAAATACATCCTTCCTCTCTGCCTCAGTTTTTCTCCAAAAGAGCTTTGCAAGTCAGGCCTATAATCCAGAATGCAGCATTGCAGGTGTCAGTTATTGGCTTTTCATAATTTATATCGGTGGATAAGCAGAGACTGGGGGAGTTTCTTGGGCCCTTTTTCCTCACAGGATCAAATACTGACAAATACCTTATAACTGATATATATATATATCCCTAATGCGTTCATTTATTGGAATGGAGAGGAGAATAAGTTACTTTAAATGCTTTTAGCTAATCAGGGCTTTGGGAGCAAGCCCGCCTGAAAAAAAAATGTTAAATGTTTGTTTATAAAGTTTATTGGCATTAAATTACCATATTTCCTTCTCCCTAGTTTTCTGAAAATACTTAGCTTTTGCATCTGAGTTTTTGGTCTCACCCACCAAACCTGAGCAGGGTCTGTACTATTCTACTCTCTGTGAGAAGTCCTAGATCAGTTTTCAAGGGGGAGGGGAGGGGCAGAATACAACTCCATTTTAAATTTAATCTGCTGACCTCAAGGGGCAGGGCGATCGACCCACAGCTTCCGGTTTGCTCTGTGACTTTAGGGGAGAAGCCTCACAAATGCCAACTCTGCGACTTCACTTGCCGAGATGTGAGCTATCTTTCCAAGCATATGCTGACCCACTCGGACGATAAGAACTACATGTGTACAGAATGTGGCTATGTGACAAAGTGGAAGCACTACTTGAATGTTCACATGCGGAAGCACACGGGAGATCTCAGGTAGTTAGCAGCCTCTTTCTCACTATGTTAAGCTTATTTTCTAAGTAAGTAAAGGCTAGAATTGACTGAACACCATATCTATATCATGAAATCATCTCCAGCTCTAAGCTCCCACTTGGCAGGGGTGTCAAACTCACGGCCCGCGGGCCAGATGTGTCATGCCCCTGCCTGGTTTAGTGAAGGGAGAAAAAGTCCCAATACATCATGTGACACCGCCATGATGACACGAGTTTGACACCCCTGCACCATGGGTATGGTTTAAAACTAGATACTGTACAACGCGGTTACAAAATATCAAATAATGCAGAGTTAAAGACTGGGCAAGATTTCTGGTTAAGATATATTGAGATATTCATGAATCGGGTACTGGTTACACTGTCTGGATGGTAATCTGAATATTTGAACCCATTAGTATCTGGGAGTACTTGACTGATAAACTACTGATAAAAAATATTAGCATTATTTGAGGGAGAATGTTTTGGTTTTGGTTTTCCTGTTTGATTTATATTCTGTCTTTTCTGCTGGAACTATCTTGAAAACGGTAGTACAGATATATAATGAAGTCTATTGCATTCCTGCATTACAATGTTAAAAAGAATGAATCCACTTCTTATGATTGGAAGTGTAAAGGGGAAAAAAATCTAATTCCAACCTGGTGGTATTTAAAAACCTCAGAGAAAGCTGTCCTGAGTTTTTGCTTTCAAGCTAAGGGAAGCTGTGCATTTTTTGTCACTGAGCTGAACTTTGTTAAAAACCACAAAGAGAGTTAGGAGTTTTAGGCTGGGGAAGCCCCTATGCATATCCCAGCTCCTCTGTGAAATGATTTGGTGAACTTGATAAGCAATTTTCTTCTGTCTGTTTCCCAGTTTGCAAATAAAGAGCTAAAATCATTAGTTTTATTTAAGCACGTGGTAATTATTGTAACTCTGCTATAAAGCAAAGTAGTTTTTGCTTAGTTAATCCTCACCTGTGGAAGGCTATGCTGGTTGGGAATTTGGAGAACTGTCCCACTATTTCTGGAGAACATCAGATTTGGGAAGGCTGCCTGTGCTGATGTTTTGTCTCAATCTCTGATTCACTCTTGTTCTTATACTAGGTACCAATGTAACCAGTGTCCCTATCGGTGCCATCGGGCTGATCAGCTGAGCAGCCACAAGTTGCGCCATCAGGGCAAGTCTTTGATTTGTGAGATCTGTGGCTTTGCCTGCAAACGCAAATATGAGCTGCAGAAGCACATGAAGTCCAAACATTCCCAGGATTATCAGATACCCACTTTTCAGTGTCAGTATTGCAGCTACCAGACCAAGTACAAGCAAGCCCTCCTGAACCATGAGAACTGCAAGCATACCAAACAGAGAGAGTTCTGTTGTGCCCTGTGCACTTACCGTACTTTCAGCAACACTAGTCTCTTTTTCCATAAACGCAAGGTTCACGGCTATGTGCCTGGTGACAAAGGCTGGCAGGAGAACTATGCCAGCAGAGAGCTAGAGGTTTCCTCTACTGAAGTGCTGTTTAGCTACAACCTTGCCATGACTCTGCATTCGGAGTCAAGTCTCTCTCTGCCTGGAAAAGAACCATGTCAGGATAAACCTAAGCTCCCTGCTTTGGAGGCAAAGGAAGAAAACTGCCACCAGAAGGCCCTGTGTTCAGATGAAGGCAGCACTGTGACAGAAAGAGAAGAATCAGTGGGAGAACAAGACTGTGAGAACACGGAAGTGGTTTCTTCCAAAGATCTCTCTGGGAACGCATCTTCTGAGAGTCCAGAGGAACTTGACAGGTCTGCTGAAGGTTGTATCCTGCACTTAGAGCCCTTGTGTAACTCAGAACCCGCTCTGGAGCAGCTGTCCAATGGGACGCCCGCGGCTTTGTCAGAGCATGACAAATTTCTAAACACCCAGGAAGTAGAATCAGCTTATCAAGTGTTGGGCTCCAAGGATTCACTTATCCTGGAGGAGAGCGAACCTACCCTTGAAGATATTCCTGAATTTGAAGAAGAAGCGGAGATCCATGACGGTGCAGATTTGGAGAAAAATAACCGCTTTGATACTGGCGGAAATAGAGAAAGGTATGCTCTTCAGAATTTAAAGAACAGCGGTGGCGATAGCCAGAATGCTGAACCTTTGCAGACACCACTTAGTTCTGAGCAGAATTTAGGGTACAAAGAATCAGAGCCTTGGTCAGGGGCATCAAAACAAGATTCCCTCCAACTTGATAGTAGCCCTGAAACTTCCCTTGCTCCGGAAGATGCACTTTCTTCAGAAGAGGTGTCTCAGTCAGAATCGGTGCTTAAAGCTCTAAGGAGGCAAGACAAAGAGCAGGCCGAAACCTTGGTCCTTGAAGGCAGAGTGCAAATGTTGGTAGTCCAGTCCAAGAGCCAGGTCTTCAAATGTGAGAAATGTTCTTACATCACCAGGAAGGAGAAGTCAATGTTGGTGCACTGCAAAGCTGATTGCCAAAGCAAGAAATGCCCTTTGGTGTGCCAGGAGTGTGGGGCCATCTTTAAGCAGCAGAGAGGACTGAATACTCATCTCCGGAAGAAATGTCCAATTCTAACGAAAAAGAACAGTGGAAAAGCAGCTCGCTTAGAGCAGCGTGATGCTGTATTGCCCTGCGGAAGGACTCTGGAAAGAACAGCAATCAGAAAGAAGAATATAGGAATCCTAGATGAGGCAGAGGTAAACAACCTGCCAGAAGTTTCCTGGGACGCAGAACACAGGCCTGTTAATGCTGAATCTGTGCCTACTGTACTTCCTGATGCACAGTCTTTGGCCCTCCACCCGCAGGACAAGTCATCTCATCACGACTCTGAATCTGTGGTAGAAGAACCATTGTCAGAGACTATGACAGATGCTGCCAGCTGTGTCTCAGAGAGATATGTCCTGGAACAAGGCAAGTTCCACTGTAAGTCCTGTTCCTTCCTCTGTTCAAGAGAATCCACCATCCGCTCTCATGTAGAGGATAGCTGCCGTGGCTTGGAGCAGTCCTGGTGTCTCCTGTGCTGTAAGCCTTTTCGTTCTAAGAGGGCACTTAAGATCCACCAGTCAGAGGGACACGCTGAAGCTCTCCTCCCTAGCCTGCTTGAAAGGTCTAACAGCACCACATCCCCAGGGGTTGTAGCCGAACAAAGAAATGAACACATCAGCTGTGAGGAAACCCCCCAGCATTCTGAGCTGGCAGCAGTAATACCTTCACCTCCAGTAGCCACCCAGAAGAGGCGCCACTTCTCCTGCCCTACCTGCCCTTTCACATGCCACCAGGAACGAGCTCTGAAGACTCACAAAAAGCGTGGCTGCCTGAAGCTGGGGGAGTTTCGCTGTACACTGTGCCCTTTTACCTCCAAGGCTGCAGCAGCTCTACGACTCCACCGTAAGCTCCACCGGAAGTATCTCAAAGCCCGGCCTCAGCTGACCTGCCGGCAGTGTGACTTCACCTGCAAGCAGGTGCGCTGCCTCCGCCAGCACGTCCGCATCAAGCACGAAGGCGTGAAACCTCACAAGTGCCCTTACTGTGATTTCAGCACTACCCGGCGTTACCGCTTGGATGCGCACCAGTCCCTGCACACCGGTGTGGGCCGCATTGCCTGTACCGCTTGTGGCCAAACGTTTGGCACCAATTCCAAACTGCGCATTCACCACTTGCGTGTCCACGAGAAGAAGCCCACCCACTTCTGCCCGTTCTGCGACTACAGTGGCTATATCCAGAATGACATCACTCGCCATGTCAGTAGCTGCCATCAAGGGGAGCTGAATTTTGCCTGCTCCCGCTGCGAAGCTTGCTTCAGCTCAGAAACAGCCCTGAAGCAACATACGCTGAGACAGCACGAAGAAAAGATCTCCTATTGCTGTCCTCGATGTGCCTTTGTCTGCCACAGTGAGGCCACCCTCAAGTGCCATGTCCAGAAGCAGCACCCACATCTGGAATGTGCCACCTGTAAGGAGACTCTGACTACTCGGGAGGAGTTGGAAGAGCATAAGAAAGTCCACTTCAATCACCGCTGTGACATCTGTAATTTTGCAGCCAAGGAACGGCAGCAGCTAGTGAGCCACTATTTGGAGGCTCATGAACCCTCTGTAGGTGTTGAACCGCCACTCAAATGCATGTTCTGTGACTTTGGTTGTCACCATCAGCTGGTGTACGACCATCACATGAAAGGCCATGGTGGCACCCGCATCTATAAATGCGCTGACTGTGAATACAGCACCAAGAACAAGCAGAAGATCACATGGCACATCCGCATCCATACTGGGGAGAAACCTTACAAATGCCATCAATGCCAGTATGCCTGTGCCGACCCTTCACGCCTCAAGGTAAGAACTCTGGGCAGCTTTGGTGAGTTGATAGTGGAAGGTTGTTGTGGGAGATATATAAACCAAATTGCATTGCCATGGCAAAGTTGAGATTCTATCAGTTATTTCAGGGACCAGATTTTTAAGACATTGGAGCAGAAGAGAATAGATCTGGTAGTCTGGTGCATAACCCACACTTTAAGGAATGGCTTCTCATTAAATTACGTTGCTTAATTGACTTTTCTGCTCATTGTGTCTTGTCTTGTATATGATAAAGAATTCATTCCTGCTCCTATAATTGGCAGTCAGCTCTGTGTTTGCATCTGTTTTATCTTGCGCAGAGCAGACTGACATTTTGTGAAAACCCTGGATGATGAGCCCGGTGGATTGTATCTCTTTCCTTCAAACAAACACAATCTTGAGCCATCTTTACGATGTAATACTTGATTAACAGATTTGTTTTCCCAATGGAAGGATCTCTGTCTTTATTTTCCATGTCATTTAATTTGCTACTGTCTTTTGGGGGGATTAACCTGCTTCTTGATATGGAAAAGTAATTGAATTCAAAATGAAGTTCAGACCTTTTATAGCAACAGACCATTTTGGAGAAAATGAGCAAACATTTCTCACTCTAAAAAGTTTAATTTAAAAGTTATATTTAATTTTAAACTTTAGTTTAATTTACACTCTGAAAACAAATTTAACTAATCAAGAATGGACTTTTTAAAAATGTGAATCCAGTTCAGTTGTGGAACTGAAAAGAAACCCCCAGTTGTATGGCTCACTGTCTGATAGGGCTATGCCACCTTAGAAATGATTTAGCAGTGTTTTGGCTCCTGTGTGAGCATGGTATTTGTTTGGTATTCACTAAAACAATATTTTATTCATACTTGTAGGTAAGCCTGAAAAAAAAAGTGCAATCACTCTAAAGAGGTCACTAAGTCTAAGAGAAGAAGCTTGAGGGGGTCAGCCGATAAATGTTCTCTTTCTGCAAAGTCTAAAGCACCTATACTAAATCATTGTTAAAGTTACAGAGCTTTACTAAAATTCAACACTAACTCAACGTGTTTCATTATTCCGTTTTTATACTCATTAAAGTTCACCAACCAGTTATATCTAGAAGTCTATTGAGTTCTGCATAGTCCATTCAGCCCCTAAGGTTTTGATCAAGTTTATAATACTTGGTGTTAACAGCTAGCAGCTTAGCTTTGGTGTCTCACGCAGGCCTGCCTTTCTTTTCTTTACTTAGTATCATATGCGTATCCATAAAGAGGAGCGAAAGTATCTTTGCCCGGAATGCGGCTACAAGTGCAAGTGGGTGAATCAGCTGAAGTACCACATGACAAAGCATACAGGTAGGTTTTCACACAAATGGTGTAGGCTTGTGTCCTGGGATCAGACTGTGCTGGATTTGTGGATAAAAATGGCAAAGGATAAGTTGTTTTAATTTCTCACTTAAGAATTAAGTGAGAGGCCCATATTAAGGCAACATACCTCATGTGTGACCAGAATCTGAAAATGACATTTAATACAGCACAATTTCTGACTAAAATGGTCCAACTGAGATTGGCATATATGGGCCTGATCGGGTTAGAGTGATGATACAGAAATATACTTTTATGTCACTTTATACTATTTTACATATTTATGTATTAAATTACTGCATTTTATCCTATAACTATTGTATTTTACCCTTCTCTTACTTTAAATTGGTTGTTTACAATTTGATTGGTAATATATGTTTGAACCTATACACTGATATGGCTTATAGGCTAATCAATCAATCAATATAATAATAACTTAAGAATTATCATATTTCCAGTGGCTGTTGGGCATGCCTGGAGATTGGGCTCTTGGATACTTCATTTTCATATGATATTACCATCTAGTTCTATGCGGCAGCCCTGGGTGATGATCTCTGAGCTTTCCCTTCCCTGGGGGCATGGGGGCGGGGCATGAGGTATTCTGCATCATCTGGTGGAATTAAGGTCTCTTGTAATGGAAATCCACCAAGTGAAAGTTTTGTTTTGATAATGTGCAAATATTGTCTCAATTCCATTTCTGGTGGGTTGTTTTTTCTGGTCTGTTTCCTGTGTAGGGATCAAGCCATACCAGTGTGATGAGTGTAAGTACTGTACCAACCGTGCCGATGCCCTGCGTATTCACAAGGAGACACGACATCGAGAGGCCCGTTCTTTCATCTGCGAGCAATGTGGGAAAGCCTTCAAGACTCGGTTCCTCCTCAAGACACATCTAAAAAAGCACAGTGAAGAAAAGCCATACATCTGCAATGTGTGTTACCGTGGTTTCCGGTGGGCGGCAGGCCTACGGCATCACTATCTCATTCACACAAACGAACACCCTTTCTTCTGCCGCTTCTGCAGTTACAAGGCAAAGCAGAAGTTCCAAGTGATAAAACATTTACAGAAGCACCATCCCCAGCAAGAAGAACTAGAAGGGGATCTCAGCAAAGGAGTGGGCAAGGACCCAAGTATTCTCAGTGTCCACCTGCATGATGTTCAGCTTGAGATTTCCTCCTCCAAGCACCTAGAGGAGAGAGCGGCTCAAATGTCTCCACATGGCTGAGGGACTTGTACATCAAGACTGCATGGCTGTAGTTTCCATGAGCCAGAACCAGGTGGAATTTCTTACCCAGCAGTGTGTGAGGTCTGGTCTAAGATGCTTGATGTCTACTAGGGCGATTACCACCTATCTGTGCTCTCGTGTTGTTTATATTTATCTCTATATATGGGATGTAAAATATGTGATTATATAAAAGCTATTTCCATTGATGGCATGTAATTCCTTGATTTACAGAGTAGAGCAAGAATGATGGTGGTGATAACACTTCTGGTGGTTTCTCCATAAGGCCTTCAGCTCTGAGACAGTTTGGTTTAAGTTCATATACTCTAAAAAGCATACTTTTTCATACTTTTTGAAATTGTTCAGACAGTTCCTCCAAAATGTGAATTACAGATGCATGCAAATAACTCCAGATGGAACTTCATGTGCACAGAATGCACTTTATTAGCACACTGATGATGTTACCTAGTTTAGGTAATGAAACAACCAAGCTCAAAGAACACCAAGGATAACTTAAAATCATAATTACACTAGCAACAGAGTAGGGATGGAAGACAGGTTTTGATATTCCCAAGTGCTTGGAAACCTGCTAGTCTTGGAGCTTTGTAAATAATCCAGTTGCTTCAGCTTTTAAATAATGAGATCATTTGATGAGTGCTCCTAGAGCAGGGGTGTCAAACTTGCGTCGTCACAATGTTGTTGCATGATTTATCGGGATTTTCCCCCCCTCTTTGCTAAACCGGGCAGGGGCGGGGCCAGCACCTGACGCATCCGGCCCGCGGACTGTGAGTTTGACACCCCTGTCCTAGAGGATTTATTGAGCCGCTGCTTTGCAGTACCTAGGTTAGCAATTGCCTACCAGGTTGCCTCCCGGTTTCCAGAGATTGTATCATCAAAATTAAGTGGCAAAGTAACTGAATGGTTACTTTGTAACTCAATGGTACAATGTTTCACTTGTGATTTTTCAAAATATCTTTCAAAGTGGCCTGATGGTTCTGTTTTTCAGACCCATTTTTATTTTAGTACATGTTTTAAGAGTGGGAACAGGGGAGAGCCTCGAGGTGGAGTCGCCATTCTACTCTTAAATTCTGAAAAAAAGCAGCCTGTAAAATGAAGAGTAAAATAGAGCAGCTTTCTTACTAGTAGTCTTACACGGTCAAGAAAATATGGTCTCATCCTTTCTGGTAATATCATTTCAGTCTTCTAGAAGGAAGCAGAGTTTTGTCCCCTGAGATATTTCCTGCCAGGTGTTTTAGACAAGCAAAGATTAAGTTATAAGCTGGGCTGGGAAACTTCCACATTAAGCCTTGTCTTCCAGGCTTGAAATGCCACATAATTCTTACATGTATCACACACCATAAAAGCTGTGTTTGTGGATGCGACAATTAAAATGTGCCAATTTTTGTGGATATTCAGATAAGCAAATAGGCTTGTGTGTTTCTATAAGACACGGAATCAACAAAATTCTGTTGTAGTATTTATTTCTTCTAGTAACATGCGAATAATTATTTTGGGGATAATAATTTCTTTGTCCCTTTTATATACAGCTCTCAATTTTTCTTCTTTATTCTGCCTGCAGTTCATCAGCCAAATAAACCGAAATTATACAATCAAAAGCAAGCATATAAAAGTAGCAAAACGGAAGAAGGAAATAATTGCACCTTCCCCATTAGAGTCTATAGTTCTTTCTTGTCCAGATTGATCCTGTTGCTTATATGTTTGTTTCCTTTTACTTTGATTTGCTTATACCTCCATGAATGTATCACATAACCTTGCATCTGTGCTAGGAAGTTCTGTTGCAACAAGATATAATCCTATGCAACCTGCCCAGGGACCAAGTATTACATCTTTGAGTGAATAAGCATAAGATTAGGCTATATGAGACTTTCTGCTCTACTTTAGAAAAGAATCATACAAAATAGATACCCTGCATGTCTCTACTTTAGAAATTGCTTGCACTAAACATGTTCTTACTTTTAAAAGTAACTTGTGTGATTCAGTTTCAATTCTGATTTCAGAAACGAATCTCAGCATAATTAAACAGACTTTCAACCAGACTTTTTTTTAGAGGGTCCTTCACTAATGCTGAAGGATTGCCACATTTGGGGAAATAAGCCAAAAGCATAAGAAGGTGAGGTTGATAAATATTCTCTACCTTTTTACATTTCTTCCTGTATATTGCATGGAACCAAAATATCAGGAGCCACGGTGGTGAGTGCAGTACTGCAGGCTACTAACTGCCGGCTGCCTGCAATTTGGCAGATCAAATCCCACCAGGCTCAAGGTTGCCTCAGCCTTCCATCCTTCCGAGGTAGGTAAAATGAGGACCCGGATGGTTGGGGGCAATAGGTTGACTCTGTAAACAGCTTAGAGAGGGCTGTAAAATGGTACATAAGTGCTATTGCTATCTAAAGTGGGGAATAGGAAGCTTAGGTTGCAGAATCTATCTTGTTATGTTGATAGATTCCTAATGAAACTAATGTTAGGTTCAGAGGCTGGAGTTATGATCACTGTCACCGATCAAGACTACTTTCTTTTCTAATGCACACACTAATAAATGTTGCAATAACATCTGCTCTGAAATTAAATAATAATAAAAATAATTAATAGTAATAGTAATAAAACCCTGTACTTTAAATATAATTTGAACCATTCTCTTAAGTAATATATTTATTTGGATAAACAATTTGTATAGATTCTTACAAAGGAAGCCATACTTGAGAGACAATGGAATTCAAGGGAGTTTTGCACACACTGCAGTTACATTAGATAACAAATTAAGCACAACCATGTCGAAAGCCAAGCATATTGAATGTTTAGGTGAGCTAGAGAGCAAAGCGTCGATACGGCGTCCATAGCAGATGAGCAAGCTGTAACCAGGAAAAGTAGTTTTGAAATAGATTTTCAGGGCTATATTGGTCCTGATTAAAGTAGGTTCAACAGGTTCAAATGAAATTCTTAATGGCATGCTACTCAATCTAAAGACAACATGCAATTTCCCTCTTCGTTAGCTATCAATTTTGTTTTGTTAGATTCTGGAAGTGGCATTCCAGCTGCTAATCTCTATTTCCAACAAATACCCTACATGAGAGAAGCTGCCTCTCAATATAATGTAAAAAGCTGAAATAGTTGATGGCTGGTGAGCAACTTCAATGTACCAGGAAAGAGATTTCAATGTTTTGTAATGTTCCCAAATATTTTGTTCAAAGAAAAAAATTCTAGAGGAGCCATAGAAAAAATAAACCTATCCATAAACATCTTTTGCTAGAATTTCAGAAAACTATTCCAGATTTGATCCTAGCTCATTGGTTTCTTTTATAAAACTAATAGATTGCACCTGGCTTTCAAAAGTTTCCTGGTAACAAATGCTACTCCACTGATCTCAGAAAAGAAATTGATCTGAAATGGTAGTTCCCTGCTTGAGCAGGGGGTTAGACTAGAAGATCTCCAAGGTCCCTTCCAATTGTTATTCTGGTCCTATAACCTCTTGAAGGTTTGTCAAAAAAAATAATAATCAATGCAATATGTTCTTGTTACTTCTTGCCTGAAAGTGAAGTCACCCAAATTCATATATTTATAATGCTTGATGACATCCATTTAAACATGAATTGCTCCCATGTAGAAAATACAGATCACAGTGTTACACATGTCAGGTTCACATATATCTTAAAGATTTTACCAAAGGCATCCTAACTCAAAATAGTTTCTCTCTCATGAATTGGAAGGGATCCAATGGGATCTTGACAAGCCCCTAATCATATATATGGGAGAGAGGGAGGGAGGGAGGGAAAGGGAGAGAGAGGGGGGTGGGAGAGAGAGAGGGAGTGAGTTGTTGGCCCCTGGTTTGCGAAGGGCGCAAACGGTGATCACTTGATCATAGGATGCTGTGACCATCGTAAATGCTTAAATGCCTGAATCATGACCACGTAGATACTGCAAAAGCTGCCTTTTATAGAAACTAGTGTGTTGGAAGTCTTCTCTTTCAGCTCTGTCATAACTTTGCATAGTTGCCAAAGAAGTGATTGATAAGCAAGGACTACCTGTCCAGCCAATCTCAGTAAAGATAGTGCTAGTCTTCCTATAGAGTTGATCTCATTCTCTGGTTTTGCTTAGCGAGGTTGAGATCAGTCTTGCAAATCTGTGTTGTACCTCTCCCCCTCCCTTTTCTTATAATCCTGTGATTAGGGAGCATCTGCTCCTGAATATTATCTTCTTTCCCCCAGCTTTTTTTGCCTGGCTAATGATTCTGTCGAGGTCATCTTCTTTCCTTTCTATACATCTCAGCCACATAATGTTTGGACAGGGGCTTTGTACTCTTTCTACAATGGAGTAGTCTTGTTTTTATAAAAAGCTTGCTTGCCATGTCGCCATTGAAGAAAAAGAGTTGTACCAAACAGGAGGATTAAAGACACTTCCTCCTGCTTCATGCCACATATCCCTCCCTATCTGACAGGTGGCTAATTCATTATTTTAAGCACCTTCCTTCCCTACCCAGTTCTGAACGATATAAGGGAGAGTGATTAGTGACTGTTTTTCCTACTGGGGCCTATAAGGGAAACCAGGCTGGAAAAAATATATCAATTATATTCTTAGACTTGGCCCACAATAGGATAAAGCTTTCATTAGCCTCCTTTTACTGTTGCAGCACCAGTCAGCAATAAAAGCAGCGCACTTTATGCCAGCATACATTTCTGCTGGATCTAGGCCTGGTGAATAGTACTTTAACAAAGCTCTTCTGGTAAGTCCACGATTATAGAAAACATTGTTAAAAGAATTTTGCTCTGTCAGGGTAGGCTGGATTCCTTTCAAGGTGGAGGTAGATTATAAGGTGAGACCTGAGCAAATCACAATCATAAAAATAAACAAACAGGCAAAATAATGCAATTGGTATTCTTTTTTTAAAAAAATAAATATACTAGTGGAAACAATGTTTGTGTCCAAATCCCATTCTGCATAGAAGTAAGAGATGGCTGGCAGATAGGGTGATTTTTGAAAAACAAAAACAAAATCTTAATTCTTGTCCCCTTCTTTCACCCTCATTCTCCAAACCAAAAGGGGCAGAGAAGGAAGAGTTGCATTGTGTGATGCAGAAATGCCATTTAATCGTTCTCAGTTGCCAACTCCCCTATCCGAATGTGGACAAACAGTGATGCTGGTGAGATCCCAGTGCCATCCTTCGAAAGAAGATGGATGTGACGGTATCCTGTACAGGAAAAGAAGGTGCAAAAAAAGGAGGGGCTTATTTTAAGCAGGACAAGGCCATTTTTTTTTCTGTCTTCTTCGTCTGTAGAAGAAGCTAACTAAGAGACCATAGGACACATTGGGGGAGTTCAGAGCTCTTCTAACAGCATATTTTGCAACACTTCCCACCTGCCAGCGCTGGACACTTGGGTTCATAAGACTAGCCCTGAATAGAATCCCATGTGTTGTTTCATTCAGAACTGCCTCCTCTCGTTGACCACCAGTTTGTTAAGTTCTCTCCCACTCTTGCTACCTCAGTCTTTAGATATAAGAAATAGCAGCAAAGCAAGATGCCGAAGTATTTGCATACATAGCTTGCAGTTTTACTTTAAACACTGGATTGTCCCTGGTAAATAGCCAGAGGGAAGTTCAGAAGGATGCTTATTGTTAGAAACATCCTTTTTTAGTTGTTGATTCCTGCCTGAACTGGACCACATTTTGAGCTTTGATCCTTCAGGTAGTTTTGAAACATTTTGTGTTCCTCCATCACCTTTATTTGACCCATGGTGACTCTGGCTATCACCATCTTCTTTTAAAGGCCCCATAATCCCTTGTTGGGTGCAGTCTGGGCAACTGAAGGGAGCTAGCACAGTGTTTTAATAGACGGATGCCCTTCCTGTCTCCAATGCGGAGTTTTGTTCAGCAGATATATTCTCAGTGTGCCCAGAGAAAGAACTATCTTCCTCTACCTAGGATTGAACTTACAACCTCCTGATAGTGAGGTGAGAGCTCCATGAGAGCTCGGCCACCACATCACTGGCTATACATGAACAATATTAGTTTCTTATTCACAAGACAAGACAATGTGATCTCTTTTTCTTCCACCCCATTTTCTTGTTTGGCTTTGCTACAGTAACAGACATAGATAAAAATCCCATCTAAGCAATACTTGCAAAAATTAATCCAAATAACGAGGACAAAGTAGAGTGAGGGAACTTCTTAGGGTTGATCCATCCATGTCCATGTCTCTATATCTTTGTTTTTCTATATGGCAAGTTACTTTTAGACATTTTGTAGTAGAAAGTGAACTTGTGAAAAAATATGTTTGAACTAAAAATGAACTTAGTAAATTATTCTACACACATTTTGATGAAGGCTCATTATTGGTTTGTATAGCATATTGATACGCCAGTTGCTACCACATAAAGGATCGTAGAACTTTAAATTTGGAAGTATATGATATAGCTCATTGATGTCACCTGAAGAAAGATTCAAAGCACATTTTTTTTTTCTTTTTTTGCTAGAGCTGGGCTGAAAGGAAGACACCCCTTGGTAGGAGACCTAACAAATTCCCAGCAGTACAGATAAGATTCTGACAGGAGATTCAGCCAGATAGATCATAGCCTATTATAATTAACTTTTACTGCAGCACTCTTGGAAAAGGAATATCTAATGTAGTTGCAAATTATTTCCCTAACCTATTTGTCATAAGGACCGTTATTATTTTTAGCCCCAAGACTTGGTGTGAGGTAACTTTACCTCTTGACTAGTGTAATAAGGAGTCCCATACCTGCTTTGACACTGGTGAGAGGTAGTGTATACTGCCCCACAAAGTCATTCCGAGATGCCTTGTCATAATCTTCCACCACAAAACGTAGAAGGGCCAGTTCTGGCACCCAAACGTAGAACCGAAAGGACTCACCCCATTGTGGGTTAAAACCTGTTTAAGAATTTCAAAATAAAGGGAAGATGCCATCACTAAATGGTATTTCAATGTCTCTTTTAACTTTCCCTTAGACCAGTGTTTCTCAATGTCAACAACTTTAAGAAATGTGGACTTCAGCTCTTAGAATCGGCAATTCCACATCTTAAAATTGCTGAGACTAATAGCAATAGCACTTAGGGTTATATACTGCTTTACAGTGCTTTTACAGCCCTCTCTAAGCGGTTTACGGAGTCAGCATATTACCCCCAACAATTTGGGTCCTCATTTTACCCACTTCAGATGGTTGGAAGGCTGAGTCAACCTTGAGCCTGGTGCGATTCAACTGCCAAATTGCAGGCAGTCAGCAGAAGTAGCCTGCAGTACTGCATTCTAACCACTGTGCCACCTCAGTGAGGACTTGCCTCTTCTATCCCCTCAAGAAAGCAGAACTCTTGAAACAGGTAGCATTTCAAAAGTTCAAAAGGAACTTTTTTGGGAGATAGTGATAGCAAGAGGAATAGGCAGGATCTGAAGTTCCCGCTCAAAATTGTTAGGTTAAACATTGTAGAAACCTCTGTCCAGTCTGAGACCAGCCAATCCACAGGTGTGAAGTTGTTGTGGGAACCTTGAGCTGAGAAGGTGATAAGAAGTTGTTCTCCAGTGCAGGTTGCTCATTCCCCTCAGAGCTGAGACCAAACAGAGAGCCCCAAGCCAATCCCTCCCTGCTCCCTAGCCCAGGAAGATACATCAAAGGAAAGGAAAGGCCAGATATTATAAAAACTCATAAAACATCACCAGGCCCTCTCCCCTCAGAATGGCAGCATCCCCATAGGGATATATGGGGACCTGACACTGATGGAGCTTCTCAGTCATCCAGGTCATAGTTGTCCCAAAGAAGCTTCTTGGATGAGAAGCAAAACGTTTCAAAGAAAAACAAGAAAGTCCAGTTGCCACTTGAAAAAAAACTTTTGGGACAGACTGTTTCAATCATCCCTAAAAATCTCACACAGCTCCCCTTTTCAGTACTGTTAATATGCTTTTTTAAATGGTTGTCTTCTATTTCTCTTCTTGCCTCACAACCTCCCATCATCTTAACATCCTAATCTTGAAGAGTGTTACTGTATTCTGAATGCTTGGGGGAAAATCCTTATGACTGGTAGTATGGAATCTGGTAAAGTGGCAGCGAAAAGAAATATTTTCTGGCAAAGTTCCTCTTTCTTTCCAAAATATTGCTTCGTGTTTCCAACACGAATACAAAAGAAAAAAATTGAAAATGTAATTGAAACTGGGTAGAATTAAGCAACTGAAATTATGAAGAAAAAGTTAGCCACAATGAGATTTCACTGAATTAAACATAGCAAATCAGCTGCATTCTGAGGTAAAATTAGATTCGGTTTTGGGATTTTTTAAACAATGATTCCTATACTTCACTGTCTTGTTGTATAGGAATGTTTAGCCAATATACTTTTGAGATGCTTTTCAAATAAACCTTCTAAAATCTAAATCTAATAACAAACTTTAAAATAAATATAGCCCTGTAAAACCGCATAAGCTATAACTGATTTAATTTATGTATTAAATGGATATAAATTGAATTGATATAAAACAGCACAAGAACAATATTTTCCACTTGTGAGAGGAAGGCTTTGCCACAACTAGTTTTTGTTCCACTTAATCCAGAGAGGTACATACATTGTAATAATACCCTGTGGCTTAAGAAGTTTGGCATACAGATACTCCTTGACTTGCAACAGTTTTTTTAGTGACCCTTCAAAGTTACAACAGCACTGAAAAAAAGTGACTTATGACTGTTTTACAGACTTACACCTGTTGCAGCATTGCCATGGTATTGCCATCAAAATTCAGATGCTTGACTCACATTTATGACGATTGCAATACCCCCAGGAGCATTTGATCACTTTTTGTGATCAAAGTTAACAGAGAAGCCAGATTCACTTAACAACCGTGTTTCTAACTTAAGAATTGCAGTGATTCACTTAACAACTGTGGCAAGAAAGGTCACAGAATGGGTCAAAACTCACTTAACAAATGTCTCGCTTAGCACCAGATATGACCTCAAGTGAGGTTGTAAGTCAAGGACTACCTATATTTAAATAATATTGTCTGTCTCCAGAGCTCTCTATTTATTTGGCCTGCCCTTGAATTTCTTGAGTACCATTACCCAGGTTTGAATCCTACAATGAATGAAATTCTGTGAGAATTTGATATAAGACAAGTTTAAGATGGCTAAAAGTTGAACTTTTGTGTATTATACTTGATCTTAGCCAAAAGGCTGAGAAGTGATGAAACTTGCATATTTATTCCAGTGGCAAGATTTATTTTATTCCATCTAGAAACCGAACTTCATTGGCACAGATTGAAGAATGGGCATATCACAGGTCCTACCTATGAAGAATTTCTATTTGACGGGACCCAGAAGGAGGGCCTTTCTGCCATAACACCTACCCTCTGGAACAACATTTCTCCTGAGGTTATATTGGTCCCAACCTTGTTGGTCTTTAGGAAGTCCCTGAAGATACAGCTATGTCATCAGGCCTGGGGGTCCCATGGAGATGGGAACTTGCAAGGTGGCTGTATTGTTTGTGAGCTTTACTATCTCATTTAACAAAAAAATTTCTGGTTGTTTTATCTGTTTTGATTTTTTAAATCAAATTTAATTTCTATGAGTTCATTTTTTGCTGTTTTAACTGGTAAACTGCCCAGAGTCACATTTATGAGGTGGGCAGCTATAGGAACTGAATGAAATGAAATAAAAATAAGGAAAATGTGTAAGATCTAAAGCCCAACTTCCTTCTTCTTTACAGTAAGATTGGCTCACCATTGTTGTCAATATATTTGGTTTCCTGCTTGGCACTGTCAGAAGGGATCCCATGAATCTCTACTCGCACGAATGGATCCACAATGGAGCCTTCTTTGCTATTGGGAATCTTGGGCAGCTGCTGCCCACTAATGATCTGAAAGAGAAAATCGCACAAGCATGAAACTCATGTCAAAGCTACAAGGCAGAAGCTGCAAAGTACCAACTGCTGAAACTTGCAACATGCTGCTCAACACAGAGACCAAGTCATCAGGAATCCTAGAATCCCCAAGGCTTCTTTTGCCCCCAGCTGCCAGTTGACCCTAGAAGTGCCATTTTTCCATTGGCACTGATGTTACTGAGCCAGCCTGTGCTGGTTAGACAGTATAAAGTTAGTGGGGAATTGGGAGCTGTCCCCGTAAGGGAATGCCTCATGGGAGATGTAGTTCATGTTATGTGGTCACATCTGTAATCCTGATTGGTCACTGAATTGACCCTTGGTGGGTTGGGGCAGTTTCCTTTATTCTTGCTTGGACCCCAGCATCGTGCTGGTGTCTTTCCCTTTGCTGCATCGTTATGGGATGAAGATAACCATATTTTCACAGTATGAGGACAACTATGCAAAGATTGGACATTAGATGAATCTCAACATAACTGTGAGTTATACCTTGAGAATGCCTTGTGATCCAATAAAGAAACTTTGTATGGAAGCCTTTGTAGAGTTTAACTAACCGTCTTTATATTCAGCCAGAAAGTTAAAGACAGAACATAGCCATTGCTTTGGAAAATGCTCTCAAAGGTCTCCAACCAGTGTTTCCTTAGAGTGCAGAAACTGGAGGGTCTGCTAGAGCAGCGGTGCCCAAGCTTTCTGGCACCACGGACCAGTTTTGGAAGAAAAATTGTCTTCCGCAGACCAGGAGGGGATAGTTTTGCACACAACTTAGATCCTCTGCATGGGCAGATAAAGCTTTGCTCACTCACCCGCCCACTGCCTGTGTGGCCTAGTTCCTAGCTGGTTGCACACCGGCACCGTTTCACAGCCCTGGGATTGGGGACCCTTATGCTAGAAGATACTCTAGCCATTATTCTTGGATAATGATTATTCTTATCCTTTGCTCTTTTGTGTGGCTAGAAAACTGAACCTGTGCTCCAAGAAAGAGGAGATGTGAATTTTATACAAACGAAAGTAAATGACTGGTTTGACTGAAGGGAGAGAGGAGAAGAGTAGGATGGCAGCAGTAATAAGAAAAGGAAAGGTGGGGAAAAAGGTACTCTTCCCTTTGAGTATTGTTTTTGTTTTTGCCTTTTGCCATGTGGCCCTTCTCCCCACACCCCCATCCAATTTCAGGCAACATAAAATGCAGCTCTCCCCAAATTTAGTTCCTTGGTTAATTTCCTCATACGTAGACTTTCTGGAGTAAAAGAAGGGACATTCCAATAGAAATTGCCAATATACAGAGGAAATGTAAGGGAAAATTCATTTAAAATGTAATTATTGTTTTTATTGGTTGTTGTGGACCATAAAACTATAGCAACAAATATGTATAATTTTAAGAACCTGGGGATGGGTGAAACTCTATGATCATTGGCCTGGATGAATATAAGGAAGATACATATTTTTTTAACCTCCCCCAAATCTTTAAAGTTAAAGTATGGCTACAGACACATACAGTACCTTAACCATTAAGCTCAAGGGACTACCTTCACCCCTGCTTTGGGGGTCCTCAGGGCTGAAGGCTGTCTCTCTATCCCTCATAAAACTTGGCTTCAACACATAACCGCAGTGGCCATTTTGACTAAAAAATCCATCATACAAGTCCATCTCTGTACCAGCTGTTTGAAAATTCAAGGCCACTGAAATGAGAAAGATCAGAAGGAACAGTTATTTTATTATTTACTTTTACCCTTAGAATCTCAGATCTATCCTCCATAGAGTTCTGCCAGATAAGTATCAATTGAGAGAAGAGACCAATGAAAAAGCAGTAGAGAGAGAGGAACATCACTTTTTATCTGCAATACAAATTAAGTCCCAGTCTAACATACTGACCAAGTTCACACAATACTTTAAGCCATAATGTGGGTTGCTTCTTGTGCTATGCATAGCCAGTAGATTGTGGTTTTAATAAACCATGGTGCAGCAGAGAATAATTCACACGATATGTGAAATCATCTATTGTGGTTTGTAAAATGCCTCAGTGCAAAGTGTAAACTCTGCAAAGAGGAGCTTACCCTGTAAGTCCTGGTTAAGCAAACAACTGTGAAGAGTATTGTGTGAATTATTCATCTATAACAGTCTTGCTCAAATGAATGCCATCCATTCTGGAAATTCTGAGAATTGTCGTTATAAGAACTATGAAAAACATCAGGTTGGGGAAGTACAATACAGATCACATCTCCAATTAATGTGTACTGTAGCTGGGGAAAAAAGAGTGTGACCTGACATTACTGTTGTTTTCTCACACATTTTTGTTTATCCTATCATCTAAACTCTACTCCCCTTATCCCTTGTGTTCGTCATATATACATACAAGAGAGGAAAAAGAAGGAGGAGGACGTTCCTTTCCCATATAAAGAGCAGCACTATAAAAAACTGGCCTAGAACTGTTCACTCAGGCCATAAAATGCAAACACAAATAGTATGAAAAGAGTGAAATTTCATATACCTTCACAAATGATATTTTTAATATATTAAGTGTATAACAAAAATGATGTAGCACAAATGAATGACTTTGCCCTAGGGAAAAATAACTTCATCATTTTGTTTTTCAACAGAGTAGAACTGCAATGATGGTAAAATGATTGGAGATGTCATTTGTGATGGATAATTGTAAATAAGAGCTGAAGAAACCAGACACTGGATCGGATCAAATGCTAACCTCGGTCATCATCTTATGCAGGGGTGGGATTCAAATTTTTTAACAACGGGTTCTGTGGACGTGGCTTAGGTGGTGGGCGTGGCTTAGTGGTCATGTGACTGAGTGGACATGGCTTGGTCATGTTATTGGCTGGGTGTGGCCTACTCAATATCACTCACATCAAGGCACGCATCTCCTCACCTGGCCTCTCATGACTGTGGGGATGCTGTAACAGTCGTAAAGTGTGAAAAATGGTGATAAGTCACTTTTTTCAGTGCCATTGTAACTTTGAATGGTCACTCCACACAAGCAAAGTACCAGCAAAGGAGGGGGGAAAAACTCCAGAGAAGTTCCTGAGACAGGAAGTCTAGTCCTGCCAAGAATGTAATAAGGGTTAACGGAGAGGCAGTTTCTGTAAGAAACACCAGAATGTTTCCTTCCTGCCTTCCTTACAGGATTAGTGTTAGGGATATACCCTAGCAGAATGTGCACAGCAGTCAGGCATTCAGGCGAATATGAGAGAAAGCGTTTTTTAGTTTACACACTCAGTAAAAACGGATACACTGTCTTAGTTGAATAGTTTATTCCATTAAGAGTTTAGCAGGGTCAAACAGTCCAAATATCATTCACTAGTGTTAAGTCAGTTCAGTCCGGAGATTGTTCAATTGCAAAAATCCAGTGTCGAAGAAAAGGTCAGTTAACTTACAATGTCAATCCATAAATCAGTCCAGTAAATATCTTCTCACAGTAGATTAGATATGCAGCATTCAAAACTCTTTCCTCCTTCGACGTCAGCAACAGGGAACATGAAGAACAATCAACCATCAATCCAGTAGTAATCCAGGTTCTCTAGCTCCCTCTTATGGCAGTTTCTCAACCGCACCCAAATTATATCATTTAGAGTTTAAAGTGAAAAACACATTTAAACTTTGCTATCATGGTTTATATATTATTTACCCAAACAACGTTAGGTAACTATGGTTATTCCTAACATACTCCCCTTTTGGGTAACATAAAAATATATACATCTCTTTACAATCTTAACCCATAATCATCACAACTTTCTTTGTGTTTGATTGAACCTTGGGCCTTTGTAAATTGATCAGCTATATTGTCTTCAGACATACAATATTCCAGTCTTATCAAATTACTTTGTACAGATTGCCTTACATTTAGATATCTAATATCTGTATGCTTAGTTCTCGTTTTCACAGCAATATTTGTAGCCATTTGTATGGCTGCTTGATTGTCCTCATATACTACAATGGAATCATTTACATTTATTCCCATATCCATTAACAATTGTTTATAAAGAATCAAATCAGTACACAACAAAGATAGACATGAAAATTCTGCTTCCATTGTAGACATACTTATGTGTTGCTGTCTAATTGACCTCCAACCAATCAGTGCCTTTCCTAACAGTATAGCCGTACCTGAAGTTGATTTCCTAGTGTTTATGTCTGTTGCAAAACTTGCATCAGCATATGCACTTAAAATCAGATCATCTCTTGGCTCCAAAAACAATGCATAGTGCATTGTCCTTTTAAGATATCTTAAGATACATTTTGTCGCTTGCCAGTGTCGTTCAGTAGGTTCAGCGTTGAATCGTGCCAATTGATTAACGCTATACGCAATATCTGGCCTTGACCAATTATTAATGTACGATAGACTACCAATTAGCGATTGATAGATAGTTTTATCAAACTTTGGACTTTGAATATCAGTGTGGCTAAATTCTTGACTCATTGGAGTTTTAGCCGGCTTACAAAGTTCCATCTTGTATGTTTTTAGTAATTGATAAATCTTATCCTCTTGAGATATCTTACAGCCACCTTTGGTTTTATTTATGGTTAATCCTAGATACTGCTTTATCTCTCCTAGTTGCTTTATTTTTACCTTCTTACCTAATAATGATATTATTTC